CTTCTCAGAGCTCCAGCTGCCTCTTCTACAGAATGGGGATGGATAATACACCCACCCTCACAAGGCTGTTAAGTACGTGCAACTGAGAATACATGCATCGTGCTTAGCACTTAGTAAATGCTCAATAAATATCAGTGTTATTGTTATTTCACCACCTGACAGTCAGTTTATTGTACATACTGTGGTGGCTTGCGTGTTGCTATGATTTTGGAAGTTAGGACACTCATGATGGAAGTTACTTTACCACAGACTCACAGTGTGGCCTTTCTCTCTCTCTCTGGCTTCTGTGTCTCCTGGGCACAGTGGGTCAGATGCAGTGCTAATTCTGATGAGGATACTCTGTGCTTAAGGTCCCCTTTCCTCCCTAAGTAGGCTGTGTACTGGAGGATTGCTTCTCTCTTCCATCAAGAGTGACCCCACTGGTATTTGAAAGACTTTCAAATACCAGTGGGGTCACTCATGATGGACAGGTTTCAATGGAGCTTCCAGACTAAGACAGACTAGGAAGAAAGGCCTGGTGATCTTTCTGATAATAAACCAATGAAAAAACCCATGAATCACAATAAAATATTGTCTGATACAGTGTTGGAAGATGAGCCCCCTGTGTTGGAAGGCACTCAAAATACACAATGGATTTGAGCTACCAAAGATCATGAGGATGGTGCAGGATCAAGCAACATTTTACTCTGTTGTCCACAGGGTTGCCGTGAGTTGGAGTCAACTTGATGGCAACTAACTAAACTAAAACTAATTAATTGTTACTATTACTCCAGCATGCAGTGAAGAGTCAAAACTTTCAGTGAGAGATGCAGTGAAAGGGACTCAGTAGATCTTGGTTTATTTCCAGTGCTATCACTGACTTGCTATGGGAACTTGGGAAAATCCTTTCTTTCCTTGGGTCTCTGAGACTCAGTTTCCCTATCTATAGAATGAGTGGTTGACTCTCTAAGGGCCTTCCATGATTGAGATGCGTCAAAATCTATGACACTCCTGCCCTCCTACTCTGGGTAGGCCAAGGGATGATGTCTGGGGACTCAGTAGGGCTGAGCATTCTTTATGGGCAGTGAGCACAGCCAATGTAATCAAGAGACCTAGCTTCTACGCTCAGCCCTATGCCTACGTGACCTTGACCAGGAAACCTGACCTCTCTGTGCTGCCTTTACTTATCCAGCAAATAGGCCCAGTCTGCCCTAACTTTCCTAATGCCCAGGGCTCAGGGAACAAAGGCTCAAAGTAGGGATCCCGAAGGAATGGTGGAGGGTCACCCTGGAATGTGTTCCAAGGCACATGCAGCCTCTGCCTCAGAGGGTACAGTGGTGAGGGGCTGAGCCAGGGAATGGGAGTCTTGGGGGAACCTAGCAGCTGGATGGCTCCCCCAGGCCTCAGAGCTCCTGGAATCTACTCTCTCTCTCTGATCAAGATAATAGTCTGTTTGCCCAGAAAGTCCCCTACCACTTTGGGCCCCATCTTACTGCCACCACTTGAGTCCTGGCCAGCACCTTCATCACTCCTGGGCCCCTGCCCAGCTTCCTCGCTGCTCTTGGACTCCCCACCTCTCCTCTGGCTCTTCTCCACATATCAGCCACTGTCATCTTTCCACCTCCCCACAGCTCTAAACCCTTGCTAATTTCCCAAACCTGTCATCAGGACAACAGCTCCATGAGACCTTGCTCTGTCTCTCCCCAGACACATCATTTGCCCCATCACTGAGCTCTAGACTGTCTTTCAGTTCCAGAGCATTGTGTATCCCCATAGCCTCTGTTCACACTGTCCTTCTGTCCAGAATGCCCTTCCCTAGTCCCGAGGGGCCTTGACTTACGTCTTCCTGAAAATCTTCCCTGACCCCTCCCTCTGGGTCAAATTTCCTTATTCCTAGTCCTCAGCAAGATATGATCTTACCTTTATTTGTAAGGTGAATATTTGATTCATACCTGCTTTCCCTGCCCCCATCCAGGCTGAAAGCACCCTGAAGGCAGGACCTCACCCAGCACCTAAAACAGTCTCAGCACAAGAAATGTGCTAATATATATTTATTAAACGAATGAATAAATGAGTGAATGAATTCCTATACCTATTCCCAACTTTAGGAACTCTGGTAGTGTAGTGCCTAAGGCACTTGACTGCTAACCAGAAGGCTGGCAGTTCAAACCCACCAGCCACTCCTCGGAAGGAAGGTTGGGCAATCTACTTCCATAGTGATTGTTGTTTTGTTGTTATGTGCCGTCGAGTCGGCCCTGACTCATATGTGATAGTGCCTCGGAAACCCAAGGAGGGGTCGCTATAGTCAGGTCCGACTCCATGGCATATAACAACGACAATAACATTCCCAACCTTTAAACCTACCATCTAAACTCAAACCAAACTCACTGCCATTGAGTCAATTCTGACTCATAGCAACCCCTATTGGGTTTCTGAGACAGTAAATCTTTAAGGAAGTAGATTGCCCCATCTTCCTTCCATGGAGCAGCTGGTAGGCTCAAACTGCTGACCTTCTGGTTAGCAACCAAATGCCTTAGGCACTGTGCCATCAGAGCTTCTCAAGCCTACAATCTAGATCTGATTTAATATACTCTCAAAATTAGAGAGGACCTAGAAGGCATCGACCTTCCCACTCCCAGTATAGTTCTAGAGTCCTCCCTCTGCCCAGGGACCAGCAGCAGCCACTTGCATACCTCCTATGATGGGGAGCTCACTTTCTCTCTTATGACAGTCCATTTCATAATGCATGGAGAGCACTTTAATATGGGTGAGTTGAAATCTGTGTCTGTGCCTGCAACTTCTTCCCTCAGGTCCCAGGTCTGCCTTGTCCCTACTCCCCAAACTCAGACCTCCAAGCCCTACTCCAGGTCTTCTTCCCTCCAGGCCAAGCAGCCCCAATTACTTCAGCTAAGAGAGTGAGTCCAGTCCTCTGGGGTCCTTTCTTTCTCTGCACACTTTCAGTTTCTTACTGACCCTTGAAAGGTTGAGTCCTAAGTCGAGGCCAGAGGTCCAGATTGACTTTGAGCAAAATTCCATCAACATGACCATTTCCTGACCTAGGGAACACAACCATGTCTGCTAAGGCAGCCGTGTGCACATCCAAGGCAGCCATGTGCTCATCTGGGTGGATGATGATTCAGGCAGCTCCTTTTTTTGCTCTTCCACAAGGGAGGATCCTCATTTTACTGTGTAAACTTGGGCGCACCCCTTTCCCTTTCTGGCCCTCAGTGCTTCCACCTGTACAATGGAAAGGGTTCCTTTGAACAGGAAGGAGAGCCCTGGGCTTGCTGAGTCCCCTGATCTGTTAGTCTTTATCAGAACCCCAGTAGGGCAAGATTCTGACTATGGCCACCTTCACAGATATGTCACCTGTGTAGTCACACAGGGCCCAGTGCTTGGAAGAGCCCATACTTGGTTCAATGCTCTACTAGCACTGTCTTGAAATTCTTAATAAAATTTGAACAAGGAACCTAGAATTTTCATTTTGCACGAATTACACAGCTGCACACAACTCAAAGATGCAGCTGACCCTCCAGCTAACATGGCCTGAGGAGAGAAGGCTGGAATTGATAAGATCCTGTTCCCTTGCACATTGAGGGGCGTCCTCAGTGATGTCAGCAGATCAGATCCCATGGGGGACTTTTACACAGTTCCTTGGGACTGAGATCCCTGCGGGGGAAAAAACCATACCCTCCCCCCAGGCTTCTTAACCAAGAGCTCTGTTCTTCATGAAGGTGTCCCCCAAATTCCTCAACCTTACTCCCCCTTTCCCAGTCAACGAATTTCCCTTCTTAACTGGTTAGTCGCAACTTAGGCAGCTGTGAAACGTTTGCCAGTCCTTAATTGGGGGCTGGGGGGGCGGTGCATGGTGTATTTATGCCATCAGGAAGGCCTCAGCTTTTATAAATAGATCAGGGTTGTTGGATGGGTTCTGATTCAAACAAGCCAACTGTTAAGACATTTTTGAGTCAATTGGAGTACTTTGAATGCAGACCATGTTTTAGATAATACCAAGGAATTCGTGTTAATTTTGTTAGATGTGATAATGGTGTATTATGTAAGAAAATGTCCATGTGTTTTAGCGATAAATGCTGCAGTATGTAGGGGTAAAATGACATGATGTCTGAAATTTGTTTTAAAATACTTTAGAAAGAGAAAAGGGAGGAGTAGATGAAACAAACGTGACAAGATCTTGATAATTGTTGGAAGCTGGCGCACATATAGGAGTTTATTATGCAATTCTACTGTTGTGTGTTTGCAACTTCTTATTTCAAAAAAAACAGGGGTAAAGGGGTTGATATGAAAATTTGTTAAAAGTATTTGCCTCTACCCCACCCCTTCCAGAACTTTTTCTCTAGAGCCACCTCAGGCAATCCTTGGGCCTTCCAATTGTATGCAGCTAGTGTATGTGCATATGTGCATTTTCCCGGGGAAAAGCATCCACAGCTTTCATCAGAGGCTCTGTTAGGTCGTGACCTGCCCTCCTCTCAAAAAAAAAAAAAAAAAAAAAAAAAGATTAAGGACCCGCTACCTTAGGACCGAGCCCTGTTTGAAGTCAGCGTTGCCCCCACCCCCTTGCCTCAAGCTGGTCACTGTGGAGTGCTTCACAGGCCCAGTTTGGTTGTGTGACGCTTGCCCAGGGTCTCCCAGCCTCATGGAGCCGATTTCTCCACCTGTAAAATGGGCCGAGGGACGATCCACACGTGGCAGCGGGAAGGAAGAGGGATTCCAGCCACAAGGCCGCCCGCGTCGCCAACAGATTTCCCACAAGTAGCGGAGCCTGGACCCTCGCCCAGGACGCACCCTTGCGCCCCCCACTCCCTTCAGGCCCCGGCTCGTCCACCTCCCGCTCGGGGCGGCAATTTGTCTCCTTTTGAACCCCCCGCCCCCGACGGGTTTACCCCTTTGATTCGCGGCCTGGAGGCTTCCCCCCTCTTTGAAATGCAAACCCTACTCGGCTGGGGCCGCAGCCCGCCTGGAGCTATAAAAGGCCTGGGTGGGGCGGGCACGGCGGCAGGGCGGGCGAGTTCAGGTGAGCAGTTGCTCGTCGGGGCGGCCGGCGGCTCGGGGCCCAGCATGCGCGGGGGGCCCCGTAGCCACCATGTACGTGGGCTATGTGTTGGACAAGGATTCTCCCGTGTACCCCGGCCCCGCCAGGCCCGCAGGTCTCGGCCTGGGCCCTCAGGCTTACGGCCCCCCACAGCCGCCCTCCGCGCCCCCGCAGTACCCCGACTTCACTGGCTACTCTCACATGGAGCCGGGCCCCGCGCCCCCTGCGGCATGGAGTGCGCCCTTCCCTGCACCCAAGGACGACTGGGCCGCCGCCTATGGCCCAGGCCCCGCGGCCCCCGCCGCCAACCCAGCCTCGTTAGCGTTCGGGCCCCCTCCGGACTTTAGCCCGGTGCCTGCGCCCCCTGGGCCCGTGCCTGGCCTCCTGGCGCAGCCCCTCGGCGGCCCGGGTGCACCGTCCTCTCCTGGAGCTCAAAGGCGGACGCCCTACGAGTGGATGCGGCGCAACGTGGCGGCTGGTGGCAGTAGCAGTGGTAAGGACCCCTCATTCGCTTTGTGCCTCCAAACGGTTCATCTGGGCACTGGCAGGTGCTAGGGCACGGCTCAGGCCGCCCCTTATCTGACCTCTGCCCTGGCCATGTTTCGGTTCTGGGGAATGTGGCACACTCTACCTAAGGGGCTGTTTTCTCCATTTCCTCTTCCACCAGGACCAGTCTCTTTGAGAATCTCAGTCTGAGGGAATCTTAATAAGCACAACCCAATCCTCTTTCTTGTAGATGGGGAAACTGAGGTAGGCGAATTGAAGAGACAAGCTTTGTGGCTGCATGGAAGAGCCAGAACTAGAACATAACCCCCCAGAGTTTTATCCCAGAGTTCTTTAGCAGCACTGATGTGGTCTTCATCTGTTTCTTCCACTCCTTATCCCAGCCTCAAGTAGGGGCTGCAAACCCTTTCCCAGAAGGGGCGATCCACTGACTTTGTGAACATGGAAGGTCTTAGTCTCCCCATTTGTACAGTGAAGAGATTGATAGGTCATATCCTGTAGGCTCAAAAAGAGCAGTCTTTGGTTAGATTGGGGAGACTTACCTTACCTCCCCAGGGCCCTTCCTGAACTCTTGACCCTGGGGGAGGGGAAAGCTGGAGCAGTTGGGAAGGTGGCTACTGTTTGGCTCCTGAGCCTGTGAACCTCCTGCCCCCAGCCATCCTCTGATCCACCCTCTTCAAAGGCAGGGGAGGGGGCAAAACAAAAGCTCAGCTTTAATGAGGAGTAGCCTGACCTTCTTTATGGAACCCCCCCTTTGTCATGTAACAGCCTGTGTGTTGGCTCGATAGTGACTCCTGTTGGCCGGAAAGTGAACATGACACCTTATTGTCCCAACCATGTCCGGCCTGTTCTGACAAAGGCCACCTGGCCTTGGGGGCGGAAAGCTGGCCTGCCCACCCTTTGATGTCTGCCCCCTCCTCCTCTTCCCCCAGCTGGGAGTGAGCCTGGGATTTGCCCCACCTCCTCTCTCTCTTCATCTCCCCCATTTCCCCATACAACACACCCAGCCCAGCCCACCCCAGGGGCACATTTTGGGGAGGGGTTGGCCAGTAGCGACAGACACTGGCTGTAATTGTCTGACTTCTTGGGAGTCCCAGGGATACAGAACCTCCTGTTTGCCTGTGGGCCTCAGGGAATGGGGTTTATGCCCTAGTTTTGCCACTCATTTCTGTGTCTTTGGCTAAATAATAACAGCTGATGTTTATGGAAGAGTACTTGGTTGGCTCAAAAGTTTAAGCATTCAACTGCCAGCCAAAAAGTTGGTGGTTTGAAACCACCCAGAGACACCCTGGAAGACAGGCTTGGCTATCTGTGTCTGATAGGGCCCAGCCTTGAAAACCCTAGAAAGTAGTTCTGCTCTGAACACAGGGGTCTCCCCGAGTTGAAATTAACTCAGTGGCAACCAACAGCAACAACAATGCTTATGGAACTTGCTGATGCACCAGGCACTGACCTAACATCTTGCGAGTGTTAACTCATATAACTCCTGTAACAACCCACTTAGGAGGTACTATTATCATCTCTGTTTTTAAGATGAAGAAACTATAGCATGGAGAGGTTAAAAAACTTGCTCAGGAAAAAAAAAAAAAAAAAGTGCCCAAAGCCATGTAATTGGTAAGTGGTAGACTGGAATTTGAACCCAGACTGACCACAGAGCCTGTACTCTACACAACGACTTCTCTTAAATCAGTGATCTTTTCTGGTTCTCAGTTTTACCATTTGTGAAATTAGAGGGAAGGGAAGTTGTACAGTGGTTTGTACCCTTGTTTGGCTTACAAAAACATCCCTTTGCAAATCTGATGGAAAGTCCAAATCTCCCTAGGAAAAAAAAAGTTGTGTAATTGGATGGACAATTTTAGGGCTTTTGGAGACCCCCAGAAGCTGTACCCGTGAACCCTGAGTTAAGCATGCTGTATTAGGTTACATGAGAGGAGGTGTCTCTTTGACCCTCAGGATCCTGCAGTACTGTGTCTGGGAGACCCTGGAGAAGGAAGTTCACTTTTCCTGCTCCTCTGTTTCATTTGCTGTTTCCTGTTCATCAGACAACTTTGGAGGTACATGAGGAGGTTCCCCATGGACTGGGACTTGGAGAGAGACCACACTGTGTGAGAAGAAAAGGATGGGCCACTGGGAGTCAGGGCTGGTATGAGCCCTAGGGAATCATCCAGGCTGTGTGATGGGTCTCAATTAGTTTCTCTGGGCACAAAAGCTGCTGAGCCAGCTCAGTCTTTGGTCTTGAAAGTCATTTGTAAACTGTTGTCCCCAGGCATATAAGAGGCCTATGACTGACTCTGGGAACTCTGGTGGCATAGTGCCTAAGGCACTTGACTGCTAACCAGATGGTTGGCGGTTCAAACCCACCAACCATTCCTTGGAAGAAAGATGGGGCAATCTACTTCTGTAGTGATACTGCCTCAGAAACCCAAGGAGGGGTCGCTATGAGTCAGAGAGGACTCGATGGCAACAACAACATGACTGACTCTAGCCAAAAATAAAAGCCTTTCTCTCTTTATTCCCAGAGAGTAGAGGGAAGGTTCATGGGGGGTTTGGGTGCTCTGAAGCCTTCATGAAAGGTACTGCTTGAGCAGATGCATTAGATCAGTTCTGTGGAGGACATGGGAGCCTTGGTCTTCTCAAAGCCAGTAGTTCTGTCTGCTCAGGACATCTGACTCTAACCAGTGCTCCTGAGATGGAGGCAGAATTGGAATGGAGTTGCAAACCCTCCCTGGAAGAGAGGCTAAGCCCCTCCCCTCCTTGAGCTCAGTTTCTTCATCTGGGCATTGAAGTACAGGGTCTCTGAGTGCAGTTCCCGTGTACCATATTTTTAAACAAATAATGGACAATATGCAGATAACGGACCCAATAAGTTTTTTTTTCTTCAAACCGCGTAACCCCCAGGGGTTAGTTTTTTCCTCTGTGTGCTATGTGCATTATATATATGTGCACGTTATTAATGTGGGGCCTTTATTTGTGTGTGTGTGTGGGGGAAACATACAATTCTGAGGTCATGCATACCTCCCACCCCAACACTGGCTGCCAGGCCTTATAGTGTATCTTCAGTAGAACCATCTTGGCTAGCCCCTTCTCCTATTCTGAGACTCCAGCTTTCTAGAATGTCTGACTGGACAGCCAGAGACCAGTCGTACAGATGGGGAAAGTGAGGCCCAGAAATTATAAGGAATGCTCCGATTCCACAAGTGGCGGCTGAGCTGGGATAGATGTCAGATGAACAGATTAAAATTTTTCCAGTGGTTTCTATCATACACCTTCCTATACAGTGTGTGGCTTCTGCCTGCTTCCCTGACCTTTCCCAAGCCACTCTCCCCTTGGCCACGAAGCTCCAGCCACTCCAGCCTTTTTGCTTCCTTAGACGTGCCAAGTCCTACTTCAGATCTTGTGCCTATGCCATTCCCTCTTTCTAGGACTCTCTTCTCTCTGATTCTTTGTAAGCCTGGCTCCTTCTCATCTTTCAGGTTTTAGTCTAATGGCCACCTCCTCAGAGAGGCCCTCCATGACTTCCCTAATTAGGTTCCCTCCATTAAAAAAAGTAATAACAATGAAAATAATAAAAACAGTTGCTGTGGATTTGGACCCCCCTGACCCCAAGTGTTTCAAGATAGAGCCATGTTCCACAGGGTTTTCAGTAACTAAATTTTAAGAAATAGATTCTCAGGCCTTTCTTTTAAGGTACGCCTGGGTGGGTTTGAACTGCCAACCTTCTGGTTAATAGATGTAACCAAGCACTTAACAGTTTGTGCCACCTAGGAGCCTGCCAATAATCTTTGCTCCTGTTTCCTTCAGAGCTTTAATCCCAATTTCAATTTACTCATCTACTTATGTGTTTGTCCATTATCTCTTCCCCACCCATCCACGAACCAAGGTAAACCTCATGAGATCCATTTTATCTATCATCCCTAGCACTCAGCTCAGTGTCTTAGTAAGTGCTCAATAAATTCCGCTGAATGAATAAATGAATGGGGGAAGTATGAGCGGGAGTAAGATGACTGAGAGAAGAGGGAAGGGGTAGAGGGATGAGATCTTGACTTTGACACAGGTTTCTGAGCTCCTGGCAGTGAGATTGGGACCCATGACTATCTAGCCTACTCCCCTCCCCACTCAGATATTACTCTGGACAGACTCACCTGGGAAATTGGAGTAGCTAAAACCCACAACTAAGACTCCCTCTTTATATTAAGAAGACCAAAAACAAAACCAAACTCATTGCCATTGAGTCAATTCCAACTCATAGTGACCCCTTTGAGTTTCCAAGGTGGTAAATCTTCATGGAAGTAGACTGCCCAGTCTTCCTTCCACAGAGTGGCTGGTGGGTTTGAACCGCCAACTTTCTGGTTAGCAGTCAAATGCCTTAGGCACTACGCCACCAGAGCTCCTTATTCTAAGGAGAGGGTGGTAAAATTGGGGATGATGAAGGACAGGCTGTTGTGCTTCAATCCATAAACAAAATATTAATCAGTTCTGAGTAATTAGTATCACTTCACTGTGGCCAGGATCGGAAATGACTACCAGCAGTTCTTTTCTTTTTTTTTAAATCTTCCTCATTGCATCTATAAATATCAGCATTTTCATTAGGAGAGTTATAAATCATCTTTCTGTCAGAGGCAGCCTCCAATTCTTTGTGAATAAACAGTGCTTAACTGGTTAATGGCTTATTAGGTGGCTAAGGTCCCACACACAAGGGAGATGTTCACTCTGATGATTAAGCCGTGGCAGCCAGGTTTACATCTTGATCCAGATCCTTCAGCTTTCAGATGGGTAAACTGAGGCCCACAGAGGGGACTAACCCTTCTCTCCCTACCAGATTTCAGCTTTCTCCCTTGGCCCACTGCCACAGCTACCAACCACTCATCTTCAGCTTCTTTCTGCTGTCCCATCTGTCTTCTAAGCCATTGCCAGATTTGCCTTCTCAAGGCATATCTCCTACTCAAGAGCATCCAATGGCTTCCCATTGCCATGAAATGAAATCTAGCC